CTAGATCTTTTCTGAGCCTAAGAGCTCAGTGTCACCCCCAGAAGATTTTAAGTTTGTTTAGGAAATACTTTATGTTTCATCCTGTTTCCTTAATTTCTGTTCAGTACATTATTTATGGGTGTGTACCCTCTCCGAGTAGGCCAGACTCGGCGCCCACAAAAGACATACAGGAACTAAATGTCTGTGGGTTGGGTATTTGGCTCATATAGCAGGGCGTCCTTCTTCAAACAATGGGAGAATGTAGTGATGACTCCCTGGAGGTCACAATACGTTCACCTTGAGTTAGCTCATCTGCGCAAACCAGTGTATCCACGGGCATGCCAACTGAATGGCCAACCCGGGTAATCCCTCGGGGAAAGGACGTCACTTTAAGTCAAGAGCTAATCCTATAAGGACACACACAGTGTAACATTTTATCTAGTCTAAGCGAGAAAACAATATTAATACAGGTAAGTACCACAACTTTGGCTATTTACAATACTACGTCAGGTAGCAAGTGCAGACAATGTATGATATTGACTGGTAGGTTGGTATAACAATGGTGTATTGTAAGGGTGCCAACAGGCAATTCATGATCAAAGGCTGGAGGCTATGCTAGATGTGAAGCTGGATAAGCTTAATGAGACGCTCATGATATACATGGACGACTTTTTATTGATGAGCAGGTCACGAGAAATGTGCATGGAACAAAGGGACGGTGCTCTAACCCTGTTTCAACAACTGAGTTTAATGGCGAATTGAGAGAAGTCTCATTCGGAGCCAACTCATGGTTTTCCATACCTGGTTCATTAGACTCTAGTCTATTGACAATAGTGCCAAAAAGAAAACAAATTCTTGTGTTGTCCACGTTGGGAAAATCCAAAAATGGGTAGGTAAAGATTTTTTTAACCGTTAATGTGTTTATGCCTTAAAAAGTAGAAAATACACAAAAATACAACAAAGCCCATTTTCAAATCCATATTGAAGAACAAATGATCGCTCATTAAAAAAATATTTAAAATATATAATATATATTATATATATTTAAAAAATAGCTCTTTGCGGGGATATCTCCAAGATGTACCATAGAATATTGATTCCCGAAGTAGATCAGCATGTCCACCGATATTTATGGCGAGATTTAGAATGTGACAGAGAGCGGGATACATACATCATGAGAGTTTCAACTTTCGGTGACAAACCAGCAGCCGCAATTGCACAGATCGCTCTTAGGCTTACAGCATCTCAAGTGTTATTGAATGATACTTACATGGATGATATCTGTACCTCGGCATAAACTGTAAAAGAAGCAAAATCATTGACTGAGGATTTAGATAATGTGTTAAGTCAAGGAGGATTCCACACTAAAGGATGGTTGTCCAACAAGCAACTGAACGACAAAGAATTTGACAAAACCGAAGTCCAAGAAAGTGATCAGACGATTCTAGGTGTAACATGTACAAGCCAAGGAGGTGATAGGCCTACATGCTCCAGTTTTTTCTCTGGGCCAATAAATAGATGCAATGCTTCAAATTAATTTTGGCTTAGAGCAAGTAATGGGTTAGTTGGATGATATAATAATAATAATGGGAAAAATGACGTTAAATAGCGGTAGATGGCTCGATATCTTTAATGTCAGAGCCAGAGGAAGGGGAGTTATAAACTATTCTCCATATTCAACAGCCTGATCAACCTGCCTTAGTGCTTAGGAACCATTACCTCAAGCTTGAGGGCACTGCTTACTGGTGGAAAGTTCAGAAAACCAATGTGTTGTCGGAGGAGCGTACCAAACGCTGAGGCCAAAACTTTAAGGCCCCAGATATGCCTAAATCATTCAGGAGATTAACTATGAGTGGTAGAAATGGTATAACTCGTGGAGTAGCCAGTAGGATTTTCTAAAGTCAGCTCAACCCCTACTGAAGGCTGTTGAGGCCTACCAACTTGAGACATTGTCCCTGAGGTTGGCATCTGCTAAAGTTTATTGGGTTCTGCGTTGCAGAACCTTCCTTAAGACAGGGTTACTGAAGGACACAGCACCATCCCTGGGCTGTCTGTTTGGTAAAAAGTGGACAGAAGCAGTGGAGCACTGATATAGACAGTTACAGAAGTGCACAACTCTTGTAAGTTGCATCATATTATTAATAATCATGAGCAGAATAAGATTAGGAAGTTTATATAGTTTTTGAATGCCACTTGGCCGCCCAGACTCTTCTCCCTATATTCAGCAACATCTCCGCCCAGGATCGATTATACACTCCGATGAATGGGCCTCGTACAGACGCCTGAATAGATTAGAAGCAGTTAACGCCCACAGCACCGTGAATCACACATTACACTTTGTAAATCCAGTCAATGGAACACATACGCAGAACGTGGAGTCCTACTGGAACATAGCAAAGATCAAATTGAAGGCAATGAGGGGAATAATTATTATTATTGTTATTTCTATCATTATTATCATTTTTAATAATAATATTTATTGTTCGTTGTTACTGGGGGTACATCTCAGAAATGTGCTGCAACATATAGCCAAATGGCTTCCGGCCAAAGTTTTAAAATAATAACCATGTCTTATATTCACATTTAACAGTTTACTATTGCAAACATAGGCTCAGACTCACACATTCGTATTGACGGTTGTAGTGTAACATTACGTCTAACGTGAGTCAATACACAGTGTACGGCAGACATCTTGAGGGCGCTGTTCTTTTTTTATTAGTAGTATTATCGCTAGAATTATTTATAGGTGTTAATTACAGAGGCTGTTTTCTGGGACTGCCTTGTGGGCGTCCTTCATGAAGTTAACTTTCTTTAGAACATCATGTATGTTTAGCTTTAGGGTTTAGTTGTTTATTAATTGATTGTATGTTATATTTCATTACAGTTTACCGCTCTTAATACTGGCAACAGACGTCTATGAGGAAGATGTACACCTCAAATGTTATTTTCGGACGTCTAGAACACAAATATTTCGCGGGGGCATGCCCCCTGACCACCTAGGACAGTGTTGTCCCAATCGGCCCAACTTTCGAACCCCCCCTACCTTTGGACATCTCTGGATCCGCGCCTTACTATAAATGCAAAAACTTAGTTTATTTATTATTATTATTATTATTATTATTATTTTATGATTATTATTATTGTTATTCCTCCTCTTTTTTCTGGGAGCAGCACATCTCTAAAATGGCAGTGGTTCCGCTTCTGCTGCTCCCTGGCTCACATAATTATTCTTATTTGTTTGTGAATTTCTGATTTTTTGTATTTGTAATGTTTTATATTGTTATATGTTTTGCCAGAATCAATAAAAAGAAAAAAAAAACAAAAAAATTAAAAAAAAAAAAAAAAAAAAAAAACCAAGTTTGTGTTTGTGTCTTATATGAAGAGCGGTTATCTATCTGAACAGTGTGGTTAGCAAGTGAACTTCGTGAGGTCGGAACACTTTAAAACGTAATGAACTGTGACAAATTCCATGTCTAATTATGTACTGATGCAGATAACCGGATATGTTTTAAAATATTTGGTATTGTACCCGAAGCTATTGTCAAGTGCGATGTTCAAGAAGTTGCCAACAGGCTTATATTTTTGTATGATGACCTACCAATGGCTGAGCATTTTCACTGATGGACATGACTGTGCGTACAATAACAGCTTCCGCCTACCTTAACAGAGGCAATTATGAAATTTTCTGATCTCAATGTGTTCCCAAATGTGCATATCTGCTCATTACATGCATTTTGCCAGTAACATATGCGAAGGCAACACTCCAGTGCTCCGTTAGGCTGCTCAGCCCACATAGGAATGTGTCAACCTCAAACATAAGTAGGTGGTTATGTGCAGCTTTTAAGCCTGCAGGTGTGAACTCAGATTTCTTCCGGGCTCATTCTCTTGGATAAGCATTGACATCACCATAAAAGAAATTGGGCTTATCATCACAGATGATTTTGGATGCAGCTGGATGGTGGCTACTTTCAGCAAATTTTACCATAGACCAATGGCAGCTTCAGTCTTATCGACTACTCTTCTTAGTTCAGTTTAGGGGGCATACTCTGAAGTCACCTAATGATTCGAAACCGAAAAAGGACGCAGTATAATTTAAGACTAGAAATTGCAAATTGCAAGTGAAGTGCTGCGAAGTACAAC